AGATCTTGCATGGAGCCCCAGGCCAAGGGAGATTGACAGTTATTTTGTGTTTCTTCCATTTGTGAATAATCGCACCAACTGTTGTCACCTTCTCACCAAGCTGCATGGCGATGGTCTTGTAGCCCATTCCAGCCTTGTGTAGGTCTACAATCTTGTCCCATGGCATCCTTGGAGAGCTCTTTGGTCTTGGCCATGGTGGAGAGTTTGGAATCTGATTGATTGATTGCTTCTGTGGACAGGTGTCTTTTATACAGGTAACAAGCTGAAATTAGGAGCACTCCCTTTAAGAGTGTGCTCCTAATCTCAGCTCATTACCTGTATAAAAGACACCTGGGAGCCAGAAATCTTTCTGATTGAGAGGGGGTCAAATACTTATTTCCCTCATTAAAATGCAAATCAATTTATAACATCTTTGACATGCGTTTTTCTGGATTTTTGTTGTTGCTATTCTGTCTCTCACCGTTCAAATAAACCTACCATTAAAATTATAGACTGATCATTTCTTTGTCAGTGGGCAAACTTACAAAATCAGCAGGGGATCAAATAGTTTTTTTCCCTCACTGTATGTTGTCTTTGCAGCTGTATGACCCTGTTGGTGAATACACTTGGTTTGAGCTTTTCCTAGTCGTCCGTTTGAGTTTTTACTCTGTTTGTTCAGAACCTAACAGACTGAAATCAGAAGCAGAGGCTAAGAAAAACTCCCCAGATGGAAAAAACACATCAAGGAACTCAGCAACACATCTATTACAATAGAAAACATGGTAAACACTTTGTTCTTTTTTTAAGGGACAGCGCTCACTTGATGTACACTACCAGTCAAAGGTTTGGACACACCTACTCATTCAAGGGTTTTTCTTTATTTTTGCAATTTTCTACATTGTAGAATAATAGTGAAGCCATCAAAACTATGAAATAACACATATGGAATCATGTAGTAACCAAAAAAGTGTTAAACAAATCAAAATATATTTTAGATTTTAGATTCTTCAAAGTAGCCACCCTGTCACGGTTTCGGCCGAGGCTGCTCCTTCTCCTTGTTCGGGCAGGCTTCGGCGGTCGTCGTCTCCGGAGTACTAGCTGCCACCGTTCGATGTTTCTATGTTTGATTGGTTTTGTCTGTTTTGTTACACCTGTTCCTTATTAGTGTTCATTATGTGTCCTATTTAGTTCTCTTGAGTTTGGTCAGGTGTTGTGTGTAATTGTTTGTTGTCACGTTGTGTGCTAGTTCGTTTTTTCAGTTCTCTCTGTATTTTGTGTTTGAGAGAGAGTTCCGCACTTTGTGCGCCTTTTGTATACTTTACCGTGGTGCGTAAAGTTCGCCTGTTGCCTGTTGCCGTGTGTGGCTTGTTCTTTGGACTTCACTAAAGACGTCTGTTCGAAACCTCTGTGTGTCCTGCGCCTGATTCTACACTACCTCTACACTCAACCCTGACACACCCTTTGCCTTGATGACAGCTTTGCACACTCTTGGCATTCTCTCAACCAGCTTCATGAGGAATGCTTTTCCAACAGTCTTGAAGGAGTTCCCACATATGCTGAGCACTTGTTGGCTGCTTTTCCTTCACTCTGCGATCCAACTCATCCCAAACCATCTCAATTGGGTTGAGGTCGGGTGATTGTGGAGGCCAGGTCATCTGATGCACCACTCCATCACTCTCCTGCTTGGTCAAATAGCCCTTACACAGCCTGGAGGTGTGTTTTGGGGATGGCGTATCGCTGCATAATGCTGTGGTAGCCATGCTGGTTAAGTGTGCCTTGAATTCTAAATAAATCACAGACAGTGTCACCAGCAAAGCACCCCCACACCATCTCCTCCATTCTTCACTGTGGGAACCACACATGCGGAGATCATCCGTTCACCTACTCTGCTTCTCACAAAGACACGGCGGTTGGAACCAAAAATCTCACATTTGGACTCATCAGACCAAAGGACAGATTTCCACTGGTCTAATGTCCATTGCTCGTGTTTCTTGGCCCAAGCAAGTCTCTTCTTCTTATTGGTGTCCTTTAGTAGTGGTTTCTTTGCAGCAATTCGACAATGAAGGCCTGATTCACACAGTCTCCTCTGAACAGTTGATGTTGAGACGTGTCTGTTACTTGAACTCTGTGAAGCATTTATTTGGGCTGCAATCTGAGGCTGGTAGCTCTAATGAACTTGTCCTCTGCAGCAGAGGTAACTCTGGGTCTTCCTTTCCTGTGGCGGTCCTCATGAGAGCCAGTTTCATCATAGCGCTTGATGGTTTTTGTGACTGCACTTGAAGAAACTTTCAAAGTTCTTGAAATTTTCCGGATTGACTGACCTTCATGTCTTAAAGTAATGATGGACTGTCGTTTCTCTTTGCTTATTTGAGCTGTTCTTGACATAATATGGACTTGGTCTTTTACCGAATAGGGCTATCTTCTGTATACCACTCCTTACCTTGTCACAACACAACTGATTGGCTCAAATGCATTAAGAAGGAACAAAATTCCACAAATTAACAAGGCACACCTGTTAATTGAAATGCATTCCAGGTGACTACATCATGAAGCTGGTTGAGAGAATGCCAAGAGTGTGCAAAGCTGTCATCAAGGCAAAGGGTGGCTACTTTGAAGAATCTCAAATATAAAATATATTTTGATGTGTTTAACACTTTTTTGGTTACTCCGTGATTCCATTTGTGTTATTTTATTGTTTTAACGTCTTCACTATTATTCTACAATCTAGAAAATAGTACAAATAAAGAAAAACCCTGGAATTAATAGGTGTGTCCAAACTTTTGACTGGTACTGTAGTCGAGTGTATTTGGTTCATATTATTTTTTATAGGAGCAGCATGCCTATGTCCATGCTGACATGATGCTGTTGAAGAAAACACTACACAGCTGCATCAAGTGAGTGCTAACCTGTGGAATGCCAAACAACTCTTTCACCCATCTCCATCAGACAGGACACATATGCCATATTCATTTTCAAACATATTTCGTACAAGGGTTTTCTCTCCAGTGGCTCGTCAAAATGAAGGTACTGAGTAAATGTTTACTTCAGTGAATCATGGTTGAATTAGAGAACAGGAGGAGTGGGCTCCACACCATAAACAGATCTGGGACCAGGCTATAAAACAGTGCCTTACCCTTTCGTAGTACTTAATCTCGTAATCTAGGATAACCCCGTTGGGTTTCTCTGGGGGCAGCCAGGACAGGCTGAGTGTGTCTGATGTGGACTTCATCAGGTGCACTGTGGGTATTGCTGACGGTGCTGTGATTGGACAATAAAAATGGGTGACGTTAATACAAATAAAAAATTAAGCTTTCATGTTGAATATGTTAAGAGTATTTTTGTTACACTGTATAAATGAAATTAGCAAAGTGTACACGCTCTTCATCTAGCATTGTTTATGATTATCTCACTTCTTACCATGACATTTATCTGTGACATTTCAGTTTATTGATTTGGTACTAAGCTGAAATGACACATACTGAGTCCATAAACTGAGGCAAAGCATCAGTACTGATCACAAGATGAGGCAGTAAAAGTAACTGCCATTGTAAGATGCAGCTAGCCTGAGTTGAGTGGTAAAGTTGAGTGGTGATGTTAAGTGGTAGCTAGCTATTGTACTTACAGTGGTGACCTTGAGTGTCTTGGAGTGAGGTGATAGTGAGTGACGATATCAAGTATTAATGTTGAGTGCAGCTAACGTTAAGTGCTAGCAAAGTGCTATGGAGATACCCACCGGCCTGGTTGGTGGTGATGTTAACGGTGGCGTAGCGTGGCGCGCCGGGGCTTTTCCCAGAGACGCCGTTGACCGCCTGGATCTCGAAGCTGTAGCGGGTATGAGCCTGCAGGTTCCTCATCACCACTTTCTTCTGGGTCAGGCCCAGTCGTCGCGGCGATATGTCCACGTTGTCATCGCAGCGCGTGCACGGGCTCCGGTCTCGCAGACACTTCTTGCACACAACGTTGTAGATGACGTCATCCCGCCCACCGGCGTCCAGCGGCTCTTCCCATTCCAGGGAGATGGAAGTCTCGTTCACGGTGGAGATGACATTCTGAGGTGGTGAGGGCACGGCTGGACAGAAACACCACAGACGGGTTAGTGACGTCCTTTAGAACACTGTTTATAGAGGCTAATACTGTAGAACCTCACTGTTAAAACCGTACTCTTAGAACCCCACTCTTAGAACCCCACTCTTAGAACCCCACTCTTAGAACCTTACTATTGAAGGGGTAAATTATTGAGTTTATGATTAGCTTACTAAGATCCCCATTAGTCCATTAGTGCTTATCTTCCTGGGTCCATACAGTTCACAGAATTGTTCTGTTCCTGCTGGAGAGATATGACCTCCAGCACACAATTAAACAAATAGACTTCATCCATATTTTATATAACATGTTCATTCCATGCATGACTTCAACATTATAATGAATGGAACTTAAATCAGTATCCATGAAATACCAATGGGAGTTAATTCCATAAAGTAGAAATAGGTTATGTTATACATGACAACATAAATAGCAGTATTCATATAGAGAATATAGAGAATATAAACCACATCCATGCCACGCATGACTTAATCATTACTAATCAGGACTTAAACATTACTATTCATGAAACATTGATTCATTACCCATAAAATAGAAAATATCTGAATTTCAATGCTTGTATCTATGGCACAGTGGTGCATGATACTGTATATCATCCAATTACAGAGGCTGAGGGGTAATCTAACCCCAACCCCTCTCTAAGCAGATCCAGACAACAACACTTCTACAGCAACACACTTCAAGGAAATGCTTTCAGCGTGTCTCAGTTCACACATCTCAACCAGCTCAGTTCAGCTCCTCTGCCTGTTCACCCTGAGTGGAGTGTGTTTTCCCCCATGCTCTGTCCTATCCAATTAGACTGACACAGTTTGGAGTATGGCCTCATCTAATTGGGCACACAGTCTGAAATGCTGGGCTCCCACAGAGAGCCCGAGCTGGCCCGAGCCGAGCTTTCTAGTACAACACCCTCGGTCCCTTGCAAAACATGAGCTGCCTGGACCGGCACAAGCTCTGACAGGCTGCAGGGGAAGTATGGAGCCCAGATGTTCTATGAGGATAATGGCACACAGAATTCTGGACAAGGAGAGTCAGTTGATAGTCATATAGGCTTGGTCACAGTCCATGTATGTCATGTCAGTGAAAAAAGGTATTGGTTGTTAGGCTATGTCACAATTATCTGAGGTCAACAAAGCGTTGTCTGTAGAAACAACCATGTAGGCATTCAGTTGAACACTATACCTACCTGTACTGACACTTACACCCTAGTGGCTCTTGACACATATGGGCTGGTTTCCCAGACACAGATTAAGTGTAGCCATAGACGAAATAGCATGCTCAATGGGGAATCTCCATTCAGCGTACACTTCAGTCCACGATTTGGCCCAGTGTCCAGTAAACCATCCCAATGAATATCTACAGCCAATGACAACTGCTGAGAAAAAGCTACGCGCTTGACTTACTGGTGCAGGCTGAGTCCGGAGAGTCACTGTCGGCACGGTAGAAGCCATTTTGGCATGGGCAGATGTTGGCCCCCCTGGAGCTGGTGCGACTGTTGGGGGGGCAGGGGTAACATGAGTCCTCCCCATGCTTGTACTTGAATGACCCGGGGGTACACGCTATACGGGAAAGACAGAAACAAAAGGGACAGTCAGAACACTGTCAATGTCAATAAAGCACAAAACCAAACCAAGGTTGGCCACACACTACTATCTCAGTCCGGCTGGGGTTGACATTTGTGACAACAACCTAACTCTTGGAGTTAGAGAGAGAGAGGAGCTAGTCAGTCCAAATCCTTCAAACCATAATGTCACACTAGACTATCTCTGTCTGGGTGGGGTTGAAATATGTGAGGGAGACCTAACTCTGTAGCTCAGCTGGTAGAGCACGGCGCTTGTAACGCCAAGGTAGTGGGTTCGATCCCCGGGACCACCCATACGTAAAAATGTATGCACGCATGACTGTAAGTCGCTTTGGATAAAAGCGTCTGCTAAATGGCATATTATTATAAGGGGTATTTCTAGTGAGTATGTTCATATCCTCTCATTTTCATCACAACATAGAAGGGATATCAATCTATCACAGATAAGGACGGAATAATCTATCACAGGTCTAAGGATGACAGATAAATTGAGAGGGAACGATAAAGTTGGAGGGACGACAGTAGATTGCTCCTGTCTGGCTAAGAGGGATGGACGACGCTGTTGAGAGTTAGGATACACCTACATTAATCACACAGTGTCCATTTGGGGCTTAGAAGAACTCACTGTTTCAACACGTCATTCAAGAGGTGGGTTGGCACGCATACAAAGCAGCTTGATCATCAATCAAGTGCAACTATAGGGATACTACCTTATAAGGTATATTTTGTTTTAGACTGGCATTCTTTTGGGCAGCCTTTATCTTTTTGGGGGGGCCTATCCTCTATCAAGTCAATCTCCAACTTCATTGAAGGAGGTCCCGTGTGGCTCAGTTGGTAGAGCATGGCACTTGCAACGCCAGGGTTGTGGGTTCGATTCCCACAGGGAACCAGTACGAAAATGTTTGCACTCCCTACTGTCAATCGCTCTGGGTAAGAGCATCGGCTAAATGATGTAAATGTAATGTCATAAGAAAAGTTGCCAGATAAACCAACAAAGATCTCAACCTGAAATAGGGTTAAGGAAATTTAAACTAATGCCGCATTTACCCAAAAGGCTCAGACTTTTCTGTTTCCATCTACGCCGGCACCCGTGTCTCACTGGGCCATGGCTCAGGCCAACCTGCTCTCACTTGGGGCCAAAGCCAGGCCACTGATACTTTTCAGCTTGCATTTACATAACAATGGCCAAATGTGAACTTTAAAACCTCACAAAGCAAGGGATTTGATTATGCAGAGGTTGTTGATTCTGTCCTCACTGTCAGCCCTAGTTATGGAAACACAATTTCCCTAGTAACATAAGGGTGTATACACTAAATGCAGCATAAAAGGTTGTAAATAGCACTTAGGAGCTAGACTTTACTTTGACTTTTCCCATGTTCTTTAAGTGTGGTGTAAAACCGAGGCTCTGGCTAACATCTGTCTTATCAGTATGAGGGCTCATAAAAACTTAGCAGGCGAGAGGGTGTGATTAACTAGTCAGGCTAAGTGGTTTTCCAGTTTGAACTAGGCCTGTCTTAATTCTCCGGAATGCCACTTGCAGTGACATTAGTGAACTTTAATGCTCCACATTCTAACAAAAAAAAAAAAACATGCAATAAATAGCCAAGTTAAGATAACACGTAAAATGTGTCGTAACTCAACAAAGACCGCAGGCCCTGAAACACTCTTAAAACACTTTCATCTGATTTATATTTGTCTTATTATACACGCCATCATCACTTTGTTTTGTTCTAAGTTTGTTTTGTTTCTGGAGGAGAAGGGTTGCATCACCTGAATCGCTTAATTCATTAACCTCTTTGGAGGGCATGCCCTTTTGTCTGTCTCTTCTCTGATACCGGAAAGTTCTGTGGCCCTCACTGGCCTCTCTCTCAATTCCAATTAAATTCCATTTCAAGGGGCTTTATTGGCATGGGAAACATATGTTTAGATTGCCAAAGCAAGTGAAATAGATAATAAACAAAAGTGAAATAAACAATAAAATAAATCTCCCTCTCTCCCCCCGTCTCCTGCTCCCTCCCCCTACCTCCCTCCCACTGCCTCCCCTCCCTCCCTCCCACTGCCTCCCCCTCCCTCCCCCCCACTGCCTCCCCCTCCCTCCCACTGCCTCCCTCCCTCCCTCTACCTCCCTCCCACTGCCTCCCCTTCCCTCCCTCCCTCCCTCTCTCCCCCTCCCTCCCTCCCCTCCCTCTCTCTCGCTCTAGACTGAGGTAAGAGATTAAATGTCCCTGTGATTAATGGTGAGCGGTGGCAGTGTTGGCTCACGGTGGTCCGAGTGGTGTTAATGAGTGCAGCCGCCTGTAGATTAACTAATGGTGGGGAGACCAGAGAGGAAATGACACTTCCTCTTCCTCTTCACCACCACGCCTGAAGCCTCTGGAGAGCCTTTTATCAGACGTCGACGGCAGGCTTTTAACCTTGAGCCGCCAAATGGCGCTAAATGAGCTCTCTGGCTCGTTATTTGCCGTTCTTCACCATTCCTCATGTAAAGAGAGGAGAGCTTCTCTTTCTTTCTCTGACCGCTCCTGATGTTGTCTTGGGCAATTCACGACTCTATCTCTCCGTCCTTCTCTCTCTCTCTCCCTCTGTGTCTCTCACTTTATCTTTCCTTTCCCCTCTCACAATATATCTCTCTCCCCCCCACAATCTCTTTCTCCTTTATAATCCCTCACACAATATTCTCTCTCTCACAATCTCTCTCTCTCTCCCTCCCTCCCTCCCTCCCACTATCTTCCTTTCTCGCCTCACTATCTTGTCCCCTTTCACTATCTCCCTCTCCCTCTGATTGCCCTCTGTCTCGATATTTGTATGCTGCTGCTCTCTGCAACAGCTCATTAATGCAAACTCTCCATCCTCCTTCAGCCTTCATTCATGTGCCACACAATACACACAGACAGGACGGCGTAGACTGTGACTTGCAATGAGCATTAAAAACAGGCTTTAGTTAAAAGTCAAAACAGTCGACTGTAGACTAAAGACTCACCCTGGCACTGTGTGTCTGCCATGGACGGCTCAAACCCTGGTACGCAGGTACAAGACCCCACAGGAACCATCCACTCCCCATCCCCGTTGCAGTACAGCTTCAGAGGGACGGACACCTCCTGCGCATTGGACACGCACGCCCCTGGGGCGATGACCAAGGAGGTGGCCTCGGCCCCTGTGGCCGTTTCAGGGAAGACGGCGAAGTTCGCGATGGTCGTCGAGCACTTCTTGAAGAAAACCTGCACGGATATCAAGGACATACAAGCCCCCAGGTCCTGGAAGGCTAGGTAGAAGCCTGCCTTGGAGAGAGGTCCGAAGCTTCGCACTTTGTTGTTGATCCTGCCCGCCACCAGAAGGGAAAAACTCTCATCGGGAGCGATGGTGTCCACCTTCACGTAAGGGTTCTCCCTCCACAAGGGACTACTTTCCGTGGCGGTATCACCATCGGACTCGTAGTAGAAGAGGTTAAAGGTCTCCTTGCAGGAGCCGGGGATGTTGGGAATACTAGCGCAGTCGCGGACGGAGAACTTGAGCTCCACGTAGACACGTAGCACGCCCTTGCGGGGGATGAAGTCTGTCCTCAGCCAGTTGTTCTGGTTGGGCTCGCGCACGTTGCAGACCTGGTACGTCCTTATGGGACTCATGGAGTCATCGTATCCACTCACCTCCTCCCACTGCAGGAGAACAGAGACAAACACTGTAACTAGTGAATAGAGAGAACTGTACACATTATCAGACATGGGTTCAAATAGTATTTTTCGATCAAAACCTAGCACTTGATTGAGCTTGCCTGGTACAATGGAACCAATGGAATCGTCCCAAAAGCGCAAACCCCACCCAGCTGGCACTCCAGACAGGTTCCATCTTTCGCTCAAAGTCTTTGAAAGAAAACAAATACTATTTGAACCTAGGTCTGCATATAATCATATTATCATTGCACAGAGAAGGCAGCAATCAGAATGTCGTTCCTATGAAATAAGTCATTTAGCAGGTGCTGCTATTGAGAGCGATTATAGGGCACATTTTCAATGAGAACTACCCTATCTCATCTCAAACAGTGTATTATCTATTGAAGAGGCAATTCAAGCGCAGTCTCATCTTGCTGGTTGCATCACGGAGGTGTTGTGGCTTATATTTTAAGATTCAAGTGCTATGTTTCAAGTGGAACATTTTCCAAGCCTACTCCTCAAATCACGAGGAGTATTTTTGCATGCTATGAAACGTGGTCCAGTATACACCATTGAGTCGAGCAGTCAATAATCATTTCACAGCACTTAGCTTCAACAACGGTCTAACGATGATATGGTTCTCTACAGTCAGGGAAAAAAACATTTATACCAGTTCATATCACCAGATCTTCTACACCAAAGACATTTTACATTATTACAATATAGGCATGACTACCTAAAGGAAATAGTCAAAGATCCATCTATTACAGGATTATATCTATAATTAACCATGATCCTAATTAACTGGGTTATTAACAGATTTTTGCCCAAGGAAATAATCATCTCCTCCAAGAAGTTAATCTTTTGATTCTAACAACTCAACCTGAATAATACATTTCCATTCTTAATGAGGGCTCCAAACATTGATCAATTCAACAGGAGGAACAGAATGCATAATTCAATATGGTGGAGCACGCATGCATACAATTTATTCCAAAACGATGGGTCCAGGAGTCAGCATCGTACACCATAAATCAAGGGCAGCACATTGCCGTAATACCTCACAAATATGATAATTGCACCCGGACAGAACGTATGGGCTTGTCACACATTTTGAAAGGGCCGTCTTGCCCTTATGACGTATGACTTGTAGGGGTGCAAAGACATTTGGTGTGAGCCTGCAGAAAGGCTTGAAAAAGCTGGACTGCCTAAGATTGTTGCCATAGTAACCCATCGTTTCCATTGACTGACTTTGCGCTCACGTACCAAAGACAAATCACACTGCCCTAGAGTGGGGGAGGTCTGTCAAGCTGTTAGCCTGGGGGTCAAATTCATGTCGTTTTGTTTTCTCATCATTCCTACGGGGGAGATCATCATCTGAAACATTCATTCCTACGGGGGAGATCATCATCTGAAACATTCATTCCTACGGGGGAGATCATAATCTGAAACATTCATTCCTACGGGGGAGATCATCATCTGAAACATTCATTCCTACGGGGGAGATCATCATCTGAAACATTCATTCCTACGGGGGAGATCATCATCTGAAACATTCATTCCTACGGGGGAGATCATCATCTGAAACATTCATTCCTACGGGGGAGATCATCATCTGAAACATTCATTCCTACGGGGGAGATCATCATCTGAAACATTCATTCCTACGGGGGAGATCATCATCTGAAACATTAATTCCCAGCTGTAATTTGCTTATGGGCTTCTTCCACCTTAAGATATATATTTCCAAACTCTTCAGCTGGTGTTGCTTGCAGCTGTTTGGGACTGTGTACCCAATATGACTATGCAGCTGAGTTTCGTCTTTTTTGGACTATTTTGGAGATTTGTGTTGTGGACTATTTCAGAATTTTATGTTTTGGGGATCCTGATTTGAGAGAAACTTCGCTTAAATGTCAAACTTAAACTGCTTCAAGATGTATGTTTCTCATTTGTTTTTAGCAACCAAGAAAACAAACAGAGTTATAAAACAGTGGGAGGTATGTCCGGGGGAGCGCTGTTAACTAGCAAATGGAACAAATGCTGTGGAATACTGCAGGAACACAAGACAAGGTTTAAATTCTCTAACAAAAATACACGCACGCACACAAACACACACACTCACCCCACTCTCCGGAAACGTGGTCCAGGCCAGTTCTGTGGTTGCCCACTTGCTGTCCATTAGTGTTTCTGTACAACAAGAACAGGAGGGTTAGTTAAACCAAGTATTAAGTGGTGGTTTATAGGAAATAAAATATAGGCCAAACAAAATAGCCCACACAGATTTCTATTATTAACTTAATGAAGTCATTCTATTCTGTGGAGTTGACATCAATTCCACACACACAGACACAGAAAAGGACTGAATACATAAATCATCTGTCATCATGACACAACTGTTATCGCACATAAAGCTCCATCAAATAAAAATAAGACAATGGAAGATGAAACCTGTCAGCCTTCGATAGAATTGGAAATATAGAAATGGGCGAAAATGCCCCATACTCTGGGAGGGAGAAATCACCTTGATCGGATTTCAAAGCTTTACTGTTAAGCGATATCGCAATCAATCACAAAGCACTCCGAGACCCAGCCATAGTGGAGTATTGACCTTGTATTATACAGGTCATTGTGAGAGAGTCCGGGGAATTAAAGTCAGTTTGTTCCTGCCTAGCAACAGGTGATCCTAGTATATATTTTTTCTTTACACCTCTGTGTTTACAAGGTCGGAACGAGGGATAAGGAGGTTAAACAAATACAGGAAAAGAAAGCGGAAATAAAAGGATCAATAGACACTGTTGTCACCAGTCGAGCCGTGTGATGGATGAGTGTAGCTCATTAAACCACCCAAAAGGCCCAGTTAAAAGGCTATCTTCCTGATTATGAAGATTCAATTGTTTACTCAAATGCACCTCCAATTTACAGTTGTGTCAATGACTTTGAATAGAAGCTCAAGCATGATGACTCTCTTATTTCCATGGTAGTTTGGACCTAGATTAGCTATAAATTGTCAAAGTTTATCTTCTTCATTCTAAGAGTCAATCTAAAAATGTTATTCTTTACTCAAATCCACCTCCAATTTACAGATGTGTAAAGACTCACCCATTACTATATTGTGGTGAGCATCTGCATGTTGGTACAACTTTAGAATAACTTACATGAATAACATTATAGAAATTATTATAAATGTTATAAATGATTATGAATTGTAAAGCTTATAATGATTATAAAAAAGGTATTTAGAGTAATTTTTTATTAAAACTGCGCATGTTTGAGTGTTCACCATTGTGTGTGTTGGATTACCCCTGCTTGACAAAGAGGAGTGTAGTGATGCAACAGTGGTACAGCTATGGATTCTGCACCACACATGATCAAATTACCATAGATGTGAGCTGACCAGCGGCGGAAGCTTGAACACAACGAGTATCGAAATAAATGCCAATAACAGTTCATCATTCATGAGACAGCGAGAACATTGACTAGCTGTCTTCACGTTCAACAAGCCCAAGCCCATCCATCTCAGGTTCCAGGTTATTTCTTGGATGTTAGAGCCTTTTGCTCTGTGTGCCTTGAGGCAACATAAACTCTTCTCCAACTGAACTCGTCATAGACCTCAGTGAGCCTTGCTATGGCTTACTTAACAGGGCTTCACCTGAGAATTCCACCGCTCCACGCACTAGCACTCAAAGAACATTTGTGTAGATAAGAGGTACTTTATCCACAGGCTTACCACATTCAGATTCCGAAGGTTTGACAGAAGGCTCAATACTAATTCAAACATGCTTCAGCTGCGCAGGAAGTCTTATTTTGTATTTATTTTTTCACTTAACCCCGAAAGCCAGACAGCTTTTAATTTAATAGCGTCCCAAGTGTAAAACTCTACCTACACCTTCGCCCTCCATGTACCATTTGAAAGTGTCACTTTGCTGATATAACTCAAATCCGACAATATACTCCCCCATAAAACTACAGGCGGTGGTGATGCCTCCCCCATGGCAAAAAAACAATGGAACTTACAGGATCTCCATCACCGCCGTGGTGTTTACTGTTTTTGATCACTTGAGCAAAATGTGCCGGTAACTCCTTACTCACTGCTGCTATGGGAGCACACATGCTAATGTTTAATTTATTTTGTTGAGTTGGGAGGCTATGGCCTCTCCTCGTATTAAATTAATTTGACACGCACTTCCACAAATAGATGAAATATTTAAAAGGCCTAACATCTCTCCACTGATTCTGTGCATGATCAGGTACATATAGACTGGAAATGGAGTGGCAAATTCGGAGTGCATAGGCCTACTGTTTGACTAGTTTCGCTATTTTGCGTGTGATTGCATCTTCTATCTCCATTCATCAATCAATCAATCAATCAAATGTATTTATAAAGCCCTTTTAACATCAGCAGATGTCACAAAGTGCTATACAGAAACCCAGCCTAAAACCCCAAACAGCAAGCAATGCAGATGTAGAAGCACGGTGGCTAGGGAAAAACTCCCTAGAAAGGCAGGAACCTATGAAGAAACCTAGAGAGGAACCAGGCTCTGAGGGGTGGCCAGTCCTCTTCTGGCTGTGCTGAGATGTTGAGATGTTATGTTTGACGCTTGATGAACCGCTTTAATCAACTCAAGCTGAGCCTAATTCAACGTTCTCCTTCAGGCTATTTGCATCCGCGCATATGGTTCGATTCCGAATGATGCATATTTGCCTCTAATGTCCAGACAAGAGATAAGAAAAGCGTGCGCTGCTATGGAGATGTTCCTTATGTCCGTGCTGAAAAAACAGGCTGAGTGTGTTCTTCAGCAGTCATGCATAACCAGTCAGCTATTTTAGTAGAATGTTAAGGTTTTCTGAGCAATTACGTGCGCAGTGGTTATTACGTTCCAATACCACGCGACTCTGAAAATAGCACAAGTACACAACATTACTGTTATAGGGGTTAGTTATAAAGAAGATGCCAGGGTCAGTGAGTCACATTTCCATTCTATGGGTGACTAGCAGGCCTGAGCTTACTCCACGTAGTCCCGTGTAGCTCAGTTGGTAGAGCATGGCGTTTGCAACGCCAGGGTTGTGGGTTCGATTCCCACGGGGGGCCAGTATGAAAATGTATGCACTCACTAACTGTAAGTCGCTCTGGATAAGAGCGTCTGCTAAATGACTAAAAATGTCAAATGTAATAAACTCATGGACAGACCCAAGGATGCAGTTGGACACTGCACTCAAATCCACAAAACAAATCGAATTTCAAATGACATACAATATTAGGGTAAGGAAACCAATGCGAAACTGCCAATTCAATTGTTCCATTAATTCCAATTCATCTCTTGGAATTAACTAAAACGGCACTAAACTTAACTCAAATGAATTGTATTAATTCTATGGATGGAACTAATGGAAACCAAATTCCAAGAGACCCCAACAGCCCTAAAACCCATAATACACTCTAACCTCCACCCATCCCCAGAGGACAGACATTAGTTAACAACCAAGTGTTGAGTAACTGAAGTTGTTGGTCGGGGGAGAAACTTGCTGATGAAAGGCCCAGTGGGACCAGCTAGGGAGGCTGCTGCTGCCGCTGCATTGATTTAGATGCTGACACCAGAATTAATGAGGGATAATACTGGCTGTCGTCCAGGAGAAGCAGATTGTACTCGGAGAAGGAAAGGCAGGCAGGCAGGGAAGGACGGGGGATTTGGAGATAAATATATAAAGGAGCTGGTTATAGCCTAAATGAATTTGCCTTGGCTTACGTTGGCTGGGCTCCACCCTGTAGAAATAGCCTGGTCTCAGATCGGTTTGTGCTGCCTTGCCAACTTGCGTGACAATGTCTGACCATAGGCGTTGGCAAGACAGCACAAACAGATCTGGGACCAGGCTATTGATTGGCAAGCAAATGGGTTAGTTTTGTTTTAGTGTCTGAAAGGACTACATATCAGTGAAGCATTTTGAAAGGAAGCTTCAGAATACTAGAGGATTGGTTTCTTCCTTCCTCTTTAAATAGTTAGATATTGGCTTTTCCCTATGGAAAGGAAATGTACGGACTGGCGCTAAAGCTTGTTACACTAAGCATGTAATGTGAGGCACCTATTTTGGAGTTATGCCAATTGAAGATACAGATGTAGGATCTTCATTTGATCACTCTTTTGTTGCTGACAATGCACATTTGCAGTTTATTCAAGATTTAAAAACACTTCTAAAGTATATAATTTCCACTTTAAAAATGTCAGACTTGATTTGCCCTAACGAAACATTTATCAACCCCCCCCCCCAAATGTCCATTAATTACAATCCACATAATTCACATTTCCTGTTGTTGCAGGATTATTTTCCTGCTGTAACAAACTAGCTTAAATTAAGATTCTACATCTGTATATGAAAACTACAACCTCCCCATCAGTGTAATGCTTTGTTTACTTTGTGAGAACCAATTACACCATATATATATATATATATATATATATATATATATATATATATATATATATATATATATATATATATATACATACACACACACACACACACACACACACTACCAGTCAAATGTTTGGACACACCTACTCATTCAAGGGTTTTTCTTTATTTTTTACTATTTTTTACCTTGTAGAATAATAGTGAAGACATCAAAACGATGAAATAACACATATGGAATCATGTAGTAACCAAAAAAGTGTTAAACAAATCAATATATATATTTTATATTTGAGATTCTTCAAATAGCCACCCTTTGCCTTGACGACAGCTTTGCACACTCTTGGCATTCTCTCAACCAGCTTCATGACGTAGTCACCTGGAATGCATTTCAATTAACAGGTGTGCCTTCTTAAAAGTTAATTTGTGGAATTTATTTCCTTCTTAATGTGTTTGAGCCAATCAGTTGTGTTGTGACAAGGTAGGGGGGTATACAGAAGATAGACCTATTTGGTAAAACACAAAGTCCATATTATGTCAAGAACAGCTCAAATAAGCAAAGAGAAACAAAAGTCCATCATTACTTTAAGACATGAAGGTCAGTCAATACGGAAAACATCAAGAACTTTGAAAGTTTCTTCAAGTGCAGTTGCAAAAACCATCAAGCGCTATGATGAAACTGGCTCTCATGAGGACCGCCACAGGAAAGGAAGACCCAGAGTTACCTGCTGCAGAGGATAAGTTCATTAGAGCTATCAGCCTCAGAAATTGCAGCCCAAATA